GCGTATATATGCAGTGACACTGGTGCACCAGAAAACGGCTGTATAAATGCACCATTCACATGCAGTAGAAATTGAGTCGGCGATCCAGAGCATGCGCCCTACAATGCAGGCTTTAAGTTAAAGCACCTTATACTTCCAGGTGTGGATCATGAGTTTTTCTTGGCAAGATTTGTTCAGAAAAGGTTTGTATTTGCCTTTCTCTGAGGCTGAGAGAGTGTGACTTGCCCAGTCAGCCAGGGGATTTCCATGACTGAGTGGGGATTCCAGAGTTGTAGTCCAATGATCAATCCACTACACCACACTGGTTATCATCCTTAAGTATCAGAAGGAAAATGTCAGGGTTGGGCTTTGCAGGGGGACAAGGAATTTTGTAATATTCTTAAGGTGAAAATGATGGGTTCCACCTCTTGTGTTGTATATTTTCAATTAGTATAGAAACAACACATATTGAAAGGTTGCCCCTTGACAAAATTGCAGGATTCAGCAACAGGATTTAGGATGTTATGATGAATCAGCATAGTATGAGACTTTTCTTTTTAGTTTCTACACACTTGATGCAGCATCCTACTGCATAAAAAGCACAGTCAATAAGCACTGTTGTATCTTCCTCTACCTTTCTCTCTCTTTGTCCCTCCATTATTATGTGGAGAGCTTGGGCATATGCCACCATTTTAAGAAGGCAACTTGAAAAGTCAGTGCAGTGTAGTCATTTGAGCATTGGAGTGTGACTCTGGAGACCAGGGTTTGAATCCCAGCTCAGTCATGGAAACTCACAGGGTGACTTTTGTTGCTTTGGGCAAGTCACACTCTCAGCCTCAGAGGATGGCCATGGCAAACCCTCTCTGGAAAAGCTTGCCAAGAAAACCCCTTGATAGTTTTGCCCTAGGATTGCCATAAGTCAGAAATGACTTGAAGGCACACACCAACCACAAACCTGAATATACATTCTGTCAATTGCTAAAACTCCACATTGGTCCCACAGCTTAGAAGGAGCCTGATTTGATTTGAGAGGCCTTGGAGAACACCTGGCTTGTCTTGGAGGACCCTACATTTCTTTGAGGCTTATCACATGAGAGAAAATTGGAAGTTAAAAATGGTAAGAACCTATTATTAACTCACAATTGTGCAAATGGTTTTCACATGCAAAGTGCTGTTATCTTGTGCAGAATCCGAGATTAACCTGAACTTGCACGCAAATGCGTGAATGGTTTTCACATGACGGGACCAAATGTGCCTCCATCCCAATAATGATTAAAGTGTGTGCATCCTGCAAAAGTGAGCAAATGTACAAATTATTTTCACACATAGACCACGATAAATCTGTCTGTCTCTCTCTGCCTTCCCTCAGCAGCTGTTCCTTTAAGAGTCTTGGGTATGGGGGAAAGCTGAAGCTGGAGATAGATAGACATACACAGGAAAGAGCAAGGGGGAACTCAGCCTTTTCTCTATCTCTTTTGCTCTGTCCCTGCCTTTGACTCAGTAGTTGTTTCTTTAAGAGCTCTGGCTAGGAGGGAAGGCTAAAGTGATCCCCAAACTGTGACCTTTAAGGGCTT